AGTTTTTGAATTCTTTGGATGACATGATATATTTTTTATTTCAGATTCCGAAACATAATATTATTCGGAGTGTTTAAATCTAAACAATTCAGAACACGGAACTCTGCGTCTAGGCCATTTAGATACACAGTATACTGTCGTGAGTCCATTTTTTTGTCCGGCATCTCACAATATTGTTTTTAGTCTTAACGGTTTAACTATAACTTAATATAAAACTCTAGAAGTGTCGAGACATGAAAAAAATTCAAAATTAGGCTTTGAAATTTACAGAAGTAATAAAAAATGGATACTTTAATCTTAAATATTTTTTTTTTTCTGAGCTCGGCATTAATATGTTATCAAACAATATTATTTAGCAGTATTTGCAATATTTGCATATTTTAGAAAAATTTCCGAAATTTCAACTTTACAAATTTCACCAGATCTAAAAAAGAAAATAGTAATGCAGCTTACTCGCAGTCTTATGTACCTATTTGCTATATACAACTCACAACTCCTTATAATTTTCGTGGTTTGAAAGTGTGCCATCAGCTGTTGAAAAACGACAAATAATTTTTAAATCATCATTCAGCAATCTCAATGATATGGAGTTTAGTTTGAAAGAATACAGTGAAGTAAAAAAACTAAATACACAGAACTAAACTGTTTGGGATTTTTAAATGTAACGAGAATTTTAGTAAATCATTTATTTATTGAAACAGATTAAATTACTGAATATCAAGAGTACTCATTGGCTGACTTGCAGTGTAGTCTGACAATTGACAATAACAGGTAGGTACCTATTGTATAAAATTATTTGAAAATAATATATTATTTAATTAATTGTTATTTGTTTTAAATAATTTTTAGATATATATTATCTGGAGCAGTTTTCTATGGACATGATCATTATATAGCGTATGTTAGCTGTGTAAATATATGGAAAGTGCACAAAGATTTGGCAAAAAAAATTAAAAATACCCCTAGCTCAACAAAAATATAACCACATGTAATTTTATATGTGAAAGAGTAAAAAAAAAGACATGTACATTGGCCCCCATCTTATATTTTTCATACCGTGAGGGTAATTTATTTGCAAATAGCAAAATGATAACATAACTTAATCTATTTAATAATCTATTCATATGGCCGTCGATGAACTTTTCTGTAACTATTTCACATAACATAGTTGCAGAATTATTAATACTGCATGTAACCCAGAAAAATTATGCTGATTTAAAATGTATGATATCTTAGTTATTTATTAACAAGATTATGAAATTAAAATGTACCAATATGTTATTGATATTCATATTGTAGAAAAAAAGAGAATTATTAATTTATTTTCTTTTATTTATGTGAAGTGTGTTAATATGTATTTTAAAATTTTGATTTATCAAGTATTGTAGGTTTAGTAGGTTTTTTAACCATAACTTTTAGTATAATATTATATTTAATTTGATATCGTGCACCCGTCCATGATAAATTAAATTTATGGATATGAATATGTTAAATGCTTAGCCTCGTTTAAGAGGACGCCACACCCGCATGTGCTGTCTCCGTCTTACAAATGTACAACATAGCAAAAACTGTTTAACGCGGGACAACTTTTCTTGTACCATATTTGTTGTAGAATTACCAAATTTTCACAACACGTAAAGAAGAACTTTCTACAACAGCGTGCTTTTTTTTTTAGTTACACTTTCCAATCATTTTTTATAAGCAAAATGACAAAAAAAAAAACAAAATGTTTAGAAGCATATAACTTTTATTGTATTTGTGTTATCAAAAATATAGGCACGCTGTTGCATAGATAATTTTCTACTCGATATGTTCAGAAATTTTGGAGCCACTACTACAAACACAGAAAGATAAAAGTTGTCCCGCGCAAAACAATTTTTGCTATGTTGTTCCTTTGTCAGACGGAGACAACACACGCGGGCGTGGCGTCCTCTTAACAATGTATGAATTTATTATTATGCAACTTTGTATTTTATGACAAGCATTTTTTTGGCTTCTAAAATGTTAATACTTTTTAATACGACTTTATTATTAAACAGTTTTACTTACTTAAAAGTATATTTTTAAAATTTTAAAATTATTTATTACTATTTTATCTATGTATTATATTTATTATGACATGCAATTTTTAGTTGAATAGTTACTATAATTAAAAAAATATCTTTTCCCGTTACAGTATCAAAAATAAAGTATTGTGCAGAGTAAAAGTTCCAAAATGAATGTGTGGGGCGGACTTAGGCTGCTATTTTATAAAATATTAGCGATTCATGAGCAGCTACAGTGCTCCCATACCATAGAGTAACACTATTTTGTTACTCTATGTCTCATACTATTTTAGGTAGGTCCTAAAATGTCAAAGTAATGCGCAAGCATTCTCGGAAGCATCTTCGATACCACATAAAATAAAAATACATAATACAATATTAAACTGGTTATTATATTGATATGTTATATGTACATGCACATGAATACATCATACATGGTATGACTTCATAATTTACGTATGTCAGCTGTGGCTGTCAAATAAACGAAAACAATCGTCTCCTGCTCCGTTGATGTATTCCACTGGGATCCACAAACCATTAAGTTTAGCCTTAGTAAATGGATCGATCGTCTGGACGTTTATTCCGTCGACGCCCAGTTCCAGTCTAAAACAAATAATGAAATAACCACGCACATAAATATGATAAACGATAATATTATATTAATATATTTATAGGTTTTTTATATTTGTTTTATTATCATTATTATACTTATTATTCTGTAATTATTATCTTATGTAAATTTAATTGTGTCATTGTATTAATTATTTAAATTATATATTATTGTATTATGTTAAACTGTTTTAAAGGGCCCAGCCCGTTAACAAATAAATAAAAAAAAATAAAAAATATAATTTATCAATTTGTCATCATATGCTATTCAACATATAGTAGCTACTACCTACTTTGAGAATTTTGGGAGGGAGCTTCAGGGCTTGACTGACGAATATTAAGTATTACACCATTTAGTATGTATTAACTAGTAAACAAAAAGTAAATACTAAGTAGAGGTTTTTAAAATAGTATTTAAAGGATAAGCATTATATAGGTTCAACTTAAGGTATAACCTAGGTCTATTTTTGGGTGGGTCTAACAGACAATAATATATTATTTTAATTTGGATTATAATACAAAAAATCAACGTTGTTGAACATTTCGAGTAAGCCAAGGTCCCATGTTAAAAAGGGCCACGTTACAGACGGGTGAAAAAGTTTCCATTCAGGTCGGTATTCAGAGCACACCAACCTATAAGAGTGGAGAAACGTACGGCTAGGACTCGTGTCCTTACGATTGCTGTATGTGTAATCGCCGATGATCGTGTGTCCTATTGTCGAACAGTGCACCCTGATCTGATGACGTCGACCAGTGATGAGCTGCAACAAGACTTTGGTTGCGGGATACGACATGAACATGCCACGCTCCAATACTACTAGCCGAGTGTGTGCGTCCCGTGGCCCGGTGCAACACACCTTGTCCATGGTGCACATTTTTCGATTTCCTTCAGCTTCTCTCGCACAGTACCCTGCAAAACAAATTGTTTTAAAAAAAGTATTAATATGATATAATATAATATATTATAACTACAATACCAAGATTTAAAATACATTTTGATATTGCGACTTCCTTTGTAGCTTGATCGTCTCTTAGACTTAAACAAAATAAAACCAATAAAGCTGAAGATGGGACTTTCAGGGACCACTTTATACACACTTTATACTTCCTGGCAAGATCTTTTTAAATTAGTTATCACACTATTTCACATAAAATAATATTTATATTTTGCAATGGGTTTTTTGTTGTACTAGTCACCAAGTCTGTTATAATAACTAATATTATAAAATATAAATATATTTATCGGGTTTAATAATTTCATATGTGTGACTTAGACTGTAGGGACTACGATATAATAAGAGTGTATTGTGTATAGTCTAATATTTCCCACGCCTAGAATATTTTGATGTAATTATAAAGTTTGAGAATTTGTACTATTAGGTACCTACTAATTATCAAGTTTTGAAAGTCCCTAGTCAGTAACACCTCTCCACAGTGAAAAGGGTTTCTTTAAAACAGAAATCTTTACCCTTTTGTATTATATGATAAAACAAAATAAGGTATAAATAGATTACATAAATATCATTATAAAGTCTATTACCAATAGAATCAGTCAAATCCAAATGGTTTTTGGACACATGTCCTCTGACTAATGCTATGTAATACTTTTGGGATATTCTTTTTTGCATTGCGCCCGAAGCCTTGGCACATGCTCGTTTGTTTAGTGCAATGCATAACACACCACTGGTCACAAAGTCTAACCTGTGCACAAAATAGAAACCATGTTCTAAATTGCTGTTCACCAAATGTGGATATTTCTTTCCAAGTAAAACATCCAAAGACGGCCTCTGCAAGAATACAATAATATAATGTTATTGTAATGGTTTATAGTACAGTAAAGTTATAAAAATAACTAAGCAGCTAAAATATTGATTCAGTGGCTAAACTATACATTTTAGGCTTAGTAGCTTAATAAACATGACTTTTGATGCAAAGTTTTCAAGTTTGTTAGCTTTTTGCCATAAAATCTTAGTATTCATACAAATACAATTACAAATGTGATTCTTTTTACCCATCATCATCCTTAAATATTGCGAATTTTGTGTCAAGTTTTAAAAATAGGTACCATAAAATTAGTTATTTAAACAATTTTTTTAAACATTTTTAAATAATTAAAAATGATAGTAAAAAACAAATATTCAATAAAATTGAATAATAAATCTTAATTTTGGGGCATCGTTGTAATGAAGAGGAGGCTTAGTAGACATTTTAGAATTTCAAGAAGCTTAGTCCATGATGTTTATATAAAATATAAAAATTGCAACAAAAAACCAACTAAACCTATATGGTTTTGTAATTATTTTCAACCTTGCCTGGTGCAGAGATCTTCTTAACTAAAAAAAAAAAAAAAATGATAATAATAATAATAAGTCAATAGGAATTGTCACTACTGCGTGGCTTCCTCCAACAACTCATTCACGTCTTTGTAAATTAGCCCATATTCTTATTATGTCTCTGGGTACAGATGGTATATTTCTTATAAAAAAAAAAAACCTTGCCATTAATAAAGTCATAGTTCGAAACATTTTTTTCTATAGTCCTATATGGCTGTATCAATAGAAATTGACATGACAAAAAAAAATTTAAACCTAGAATTTATATTCTGAAAATTGAAAGTATTAAGTTGTGTCCCTGGATGATTAATTTAATCATGCTACCATGTCGTTAAATTATTCTCTCAATAGACTACAAATAGAATATAATATGATATTATATTATATGCTACAAACTAACCACAAGTCCACACATACCTATTTGATAACATTAAGACCATTGCAGTATTTCCTATGCTTTTAAGACCACCAACCACCACTGAACAATGTATGTAATATAATAACAATAAACTGGGTAATATTTTACTGACTGCTTTGTTATGATTGTTTGTAAATACATCCTCGGGTTTGTTGACAATAATAAAATCGTTTGATTTGTATACAATTTCCACGTCGATTTTGTTGGAACCACGTAAACCGAGCCAGGTGACAACTAAGTCAAATAATGACACGAAACAATGAATGAAACATTCTAACGTCATTCCGATTTTCGATAAAAATTTAAAACTTGTACGTTATAAATTATAATAATATAATTGCGATTTGCGACATTATCGAACATTCAGTTCAAACTTTAAAACGTATGTTATCACTTCATCAGTTACCTCCATAGATGTTCGACAAACCTAAGGGTAATGGTGTGGGTGACAAACACAGAATAACAAACCACAAGTGACAGTCTTATCACTTCTTATCTACATTCCATTAGGTTTGAAGCACGGATATTGATAGTATCTATATCCGTGGTTTGAAGAGACGCCGTGACGGACAATTCAACTATTTCAACTACAATGCGCGCTGTACAAGTACAACACTATAATAACTGTGCGTCTGTGCAAGTATAACACGTCTTTAAATTTGAACTTTGTATTGCTCGACCAACACAGCAACACGTATTTATAAGCAACCTTACATTTAGTTTAAATTGAATGCTGATTGAGGACCTAGCTGTGTATATTATCATTACTGTTTAGAACTTAAGGAGTGATCGTGGATACTTTTAAAATGAAAAAATTAACTCAGTGGGTTGTTGGTTTAAATATACTGTCTATATTATGGTTAAGCTTACTTTTTCACCAGTACGACAGTAAAATTTCCAAGGAACACTTCCTTGTCATACAATTTCTTCCTATTATTTTATTGATTCTTTTTGGCGTAAGTACTTACAAGTGAAAACTTGCTTAATACCTACAACTGTCATTGTAACATATTAACATATTTTAGGTGTTCTCATTGGCAGTTATATTGTATAGAGTGGCAACTTTCAATAACTGCCAATCAGCTGCAGAAGAATTACAAGCGGTAACTTATAATGTTCAATTAATGTGCTCTAAAAGTTCAATTTTATATGTTATGATATTACAGGAAATAAAAGAAGCGAGAACAGCTCTTCAAAAAAAAGGATTCAAATTTGATTGATATTTTAATATATATTTACTTGCAACAACGGGGTTAACATTCCATACAATGTTTATAGCTAAATGTAATTTTACATACATTACTTTAGTCTCTGAAATAAAAATTTATTTTTTGTAAATATATGAACAACATACATAAATATTTGAAAAATAAACATATTATGTAATCCAAAAATTATAGTGTTTTATAAAATAGTAAAATGATTATAGGTAAGATCCACATAAGGAATCTTGAATTACATTTTCAAATTATATGACCTATCAAACATATTTTTGCTGACAATAATTTTTAATAAGCTAATACAAATATAATGTATATAAAATGCCAATATTGAATTTTGGTGATATTTTTACCTCTCATGTTCCAACTAGATTCACTTTCTTATCAGAAAAGATGCTGAGGTAGAAAATTAAAGCATTATTTTTTTTTTTATTGTCCCAAAAGGCAATGACAGACTCTCAAAAAAAATACATCATGGTACGATCAATAAAACTTTCCAAAAAATGAAGTAAATAATCTTGTATTAGGTTAGGTTAAGATCCTACCATTAATGGATATTTGTGTTATAAAACCATAGGGAATATAATAATATGTACCCCGAGCAGTCAAAGAAGATTTGATTGCTTGTATAATATATGTTAAAATAAATAGATTAAAAAAATAATGGTTACAACAACCAATTGGCAGACACTAATATAATCGTATTAATTACTAGAAATAAAATCAATTAAATATTAGCATTGATTATAAATACTAGGTATAATAGGTATTAGTATTTATAATCAATGATATTTGGTTAAATTACCATTTATATGGGTCCTTAATGTTGTTAAAAACAATTTCTATTGCATATGGTATATAAATTATAATATTATCATATATTATGGTACCGTATTGTTTTTTAAGTACTTGTAAATATTTAAATGACGAAAAAATCAAATCAATACCATAAAATATATTATCTTTTACTTAGAACTCCTAAACATTTCAATTTCTTTTTTGTTTTAAAGTCTAAAGATAATATTATGTTAATTTGAACAAGAAAAATAATATTTTTTATCAAAATATTGTTTTCTTAAATGTATGTTTTAGTTATACCTAGCATCGTTAACTGTAGCTGGTACTTTAACTTCTAAGCCATCTAATTTTTCTTCTAAAATTATTTGACATCCTAATCGAGACCTGAAACAAAATTATTATATTCTAGTTATGATAAGTATTAATCACACATTCAAGTTTGGTTAAGAATTAGTAGACTAATTTAGTCGCTCTGTAATACTGAAAATAATAAATTGACCTTATAAAAACCTATGTTGAGCTTTAAGTTAAAATTAGATAGTACAATTGTGTTGACAAAAAAGTAGCTAATTAATTTAGTTGTATGTCTTAGAGCATATGTTTTAAAATATAAAAAGTAATAGATTAGTTTTATTTTGGTTGGCAGTTTATCAATAAATGATATAACAAATTAAATTAATTTATTATTCACATAAATAATTCTGTATTTACAATAGAAAGTTAATTTTAATAAAGAAATAAATGTATAGTGGTGACTTGAGGTTAATTTAAATATTGTGTTTCAATTATTGTAATCAATGATTATAATATTGAATCTTACATTTAATAGAATAAAATACGTTCTTAAAACAAAATGAGATTGTGAATACAGTAAACTACATTTAAAAAACACTTGGGGGGGGGGCTTGTTTAAGAAATAAACACAGTGAGCGCTAAATATTAATATACTAATTGATCAGTTTGATAGTTTTTAATAACTAAATTACGACTTACAAAATTATTAAGTTACTTTAGTTAAATTTAATTAATTTAATATGTTTTGACAAATATGACAACAGAAATAATAGATAAATAGAAGTTATTAAAAGTCAAAATTATTTATGTTATGAAAATTCAATAAATATTTTCTTACGTATCAGTTAAGTTATATGCTAAATCTAACATATCTAATTCTTCATCAGAGGGTTTATCAGGTAAAGCATCATAATCCTTTGAATCTAAAATCACATGACATGTAGAACATGTTAATGTACCTTCACATGCACCTGAAAAATAAAATAAAATACAACTTATAATAGAGAAGATACTAATAAATACTTAGTTTGGGTAGTAATTTAAGATCATACCATATCCATCAAAATCTAAGTTATTATTGATAATGACATCTAACAAAGAATCTCCTTTTTTGCCTTCTGCAGTAATTTTGTCACCATTGGCTTTGTTAAAAATTACTTTAATGCTGAAATATAAAATTATATAGATACTTAATCATTTTATATATTGGTGCAGATATGACTTGAATTTTCATAGAGTAGGTATAATATCAATAATGAAGAAAAGTGAATGATTCCTTAAAATTAATGAACACGAAATATCACAAATAGCAATTTATTGGAATTGACCATCTGATAAAACAGCTTTTCTTATTAAAGGAATTATAAGTACCAATAAACAACTAATAATCATGATGCATATAATTGAACAAGTTTCAACATCTACCCACTAAAACTGCCTAAAACAAAGATTTTCTTTTTATTGAGAAAATCTCTTCAACAAACAATTTTATTGTACAATAGTCAATGAAATTTCAATAATTTTTAATTTTAATACATGCTTTAGCTAAACAAGAAAAACAAGTATTTAGTAATATTTGTTTGACTAAAAATAACGATTTAAAACATTTTTGGCTGATATAATGTAAGGATTTGATTAAGGTCAATACTTACAGCTTATCATTATTAACTGTACTCATATATTTCATATTAAGCACTCTGCTCCTTATACAGCTATTTGTGACAATATATTTTAATAGTTTTATTGACATGATGATCAATGGTTATTTTGTAAAAAAATATATACCTATCATAAATAATAATTTATCATTTAGTTTGAAATTTCCTTTTTTGGATTTCCTCTAAAATGTTTGTACAGCCATATGCGTTAAATAGAATTTGGAAACTAAAATATGCAATGCGCCAAGTTAAAACTTTACCATTGAACAAGTTACAACTTGGGAAGTTTAGTTTTTACCGTCTAAATAGGGATAATACACTATCATCATCAGGTGCAAAGGTAAACACTCGCTTATCACCATTCGGCAGTCAGCAGGCTATAATTCTGTAAACTGAAAAATAATGTCCATCCATGTGGCTTCCATTGTGCTTCCACTTAACGCCGTTAGAGCGCGTTAACCATCATTCACCAACGTACAAGTACAGATTCTAAAATAAGAACTGTAGGAGCATAGAACAGGGATGCTATCGGTGGTGTCGTTTGTTTCTTCTGTGGTCGTGTTGTGGTGAAATGAATAAAGGCAATTTTCCAATTTGACATGACATTAAAACGACAACGTTGACTTCGGCAGATATCAAAGTATTGGACGAGGTGGCCGAGGACTTACTGAAAGCCGCCGTTCAGAGGTCATTGAATTTGTCACCCCTCTCTCTGGGTCCGAGTGACGAGCGGTCGTCGTCTGTTTCAAGGTGATAGCAGTTTTGCATCGCCACAAACGGAGGCGCCGAGGATTTTTGTACCGAGCGTCTTGGACAAGTTGCTGGAGTTTGACGAAGTCGCGTCAGAAATCCGGAGGAACGCTAGCACGAAGTACGGTAAGCACCTACCGCCGTTACCGCGGTGTTTCAGCAGTGCGCCGGAAGTTGAACACTTGCCACCGATAACACGGCATTCTGAAGACGGTGATTGTGTGGCACCTAATATTTTGGCCAATTACGTGCGATAAACAATAACGGCGAACAACCAGCTGCCGTCAGACGTAGATTGCGAGCCGGACGTCCTAGAAGTCAAGAGCGTGATTCAGTCAGAAAATATTGAGGAGGCAGTTCAGAGCACGGCCATAGACGAAGCAAAAAGTGACGGTGATTGGGTGGCACCTAGTCTTTGGCCAATAACGTGCGACAAACAACAGCGGCGAACAACCAACTGCCGTCGGGCGCCTTAGAGATCAAGCGACTGATTCAGTCATAAGAAATTGAGAAGGCAGTTCAGAGCACGGCCATAGACGTAGCAAAAAGTGACGGCGACGAGATCGAACCGTCAGTGACCACGGCCACGGTAAAGTCAGCAGCAGCAGCAGCAGAACAACCGCTGCAAGATCGTCGCAGGCCGTCCATCACGTAAAGATATTGGGGAACCGACTCCTCAAGGTTGGCAGATTGATGTTCTGCTGTTGTTGTCGTCCGAATAATAATGATTAGAGTGGTACCCCGGTACCGCGATGTGGCTCATCCCGTTTTTCGAGCACCTTGTGCCTCGTCGCATTTTTTTTTTTACATTTTTCTTTTAGTTTCGTACCGACGTCCGTCGTTTTCCGCCGGCAACCTTTTAGTTGGCAATCGCGATTTTTGTTTTATGTTTTCCCGCTTACCATTCCTGCAGGTATCTAAATCCATTAAGATGTATTCAATATATATATATTATATTATTATTTTTTTTTATAATTTTTTAAAAATTGTTTTTGAATATTATATCATACATATTATATTACCATGTATTCAGTATTTCTTTACGTAAAAATATGTTTCATACTGTTAATTTGAAAAATAAAAATTTGTTATTTACAGAACACTTGTTTATTCAATTGACTGGTCTATGTATTATATAAAACAATCAAAATACGACGATTCAAATAAGTAATAATCTATTAAATAATACCTAAAATATTTAATTAAAATACGATAGCAGAATTGTAATAAATTTTAAAAAAAATGTAGAATGAAAACAAAATTTAATGTGCTCATATTTTGTTGATATTTTTGACATAAACCATTATAGTTAGTTTCGATATGAGTGTTAATTTATAAGTGTTTGATATTGTACTATTGTAGTCATAACTATAATAGGCATATATGAAAACAATATAATATAGTGCACAGTAGTATAGTGGTCAGTGGTCACCATTAGTAAGTGTGGTCGTAATTGTATAGCTGTACAGGTACCTCATAATATATTGATATTTTTGGACCTGATTTCTAATGGTTTGCTCAATCTTGTTTATATTGTGTACTAGTGATTTATTGTGGATTGATTTATTTAATTGTATGTAATAATTGCAAATGTATTGGTAATATCACAAGTTTCATCGAACAGTCTAGTACTATAGTCATTCGGTATCGTTAGATATATAGTCGGCCAATAACCATTGTTTACTTGTTTGCAATAGTATTGCGTAGACGCCAAACATCTATTGTTAGGGGAGCTACCTTTTCCAACTTGTCTTTCCTCGTGTTGTTTTTACCACACACCGTCCAATATTCCTGGAAGCATCATAGATATTATTGCCGTTATCATGTTTCCCAAAATAATTGGAAATATGCAGTGATATACACATTTACCATAGGAAAAACCTAAATAAGTATGGTAAGTCATGGCCTAAAATGTTAACCACACCAAATTTGCCGATATCGGTGGTCAGTAACTCCGTTATCCGTCATCACTCATCGCACGTTCAATCTGTTAGAGGCATTCGTGCCCGTCATCGCACCTTCAATCTGTTAGAGGCATTCGTGCCCGTCCTCCCCCATTTTGTCTTCGCCCTCTCCGTTTTTCTTCTAAGTCGCCACGCATTGCGAACATACACCCACTGTTTTTATATTCTGAACGATATAATTTACACTTTACACATCGGGTTTTTCAGATTTTATTTTTATTTTTCTCTTCTGCCATTTTTACCATACACAATTTTAAAATGTTTAAATACTAAATAGTGTGTATGTAATGTACCTACTAGGTACACTTATATAATTGTGGATATAAGAATATAAAATAATGAAAACAATTCTGCAAACTGTACAAAATTACAGTATTGTTTGTTTAATATTCTTAGGGGGACTTTAACTTCAAATCATTTATTTTGGGGGAACTAAGCCCCCCCCCCCCGCCAATGCTGCCAAAAGCCAGATTAAACACATGCCGAAATTGAATCGATCATAAGTAGGTAGGTAGGTATGTTTTATGATATTATTGTTACTGTGACTGCCTATAAAGCAATATAAGGTAATTTATTTTACTATTAGGCAACCAACTACAATTGTTGGTTTATTACATTTTTTTTCGAAAAAATGGCATTTGAAAATACCTTGCATTCCCTATTGTTGTGGCACTGTGCGTAATGTGTACATTGATTGGAGATTAGAATACTATAATGTACCTATGTAGAAAATAATAATAAGTATAGTTAGGTACTAGTAACTGACAAAAACTTTCAAATAGCTCCAATTATCATAGTTATTCTTTGTTTAAACATCTAATTTCAAAATCAACTCACAGGTATGTATTATTGATATTTTTAAATTGCTATGAGATTAATTCATGATTTAAGGAAACATGTGCATATAACATTTTGAAGCTTTGTTTATTGACTAAGATGTGTTTGTCATTTTAATATAATACATTAAAAAGTAATATATAGATACTTTTGGTATATTGTATACCTATACGGCTATACTTATTTAATTTCAACATTTAAATTCCTTAGTTTTAATTAAACTACTAGAAGAAAGGAAGCAACACAATAGAAATCCATAATACAGATTTTAAAATCATCTGAAAAAATTATACAAGGATGACATCCAGGTCCATATTTTTATTGCATATCATTTCAGAAACATCCACCTTAATACCTAATATGAAGTATGGATTACAATAATTTTGTCATATTAAGGTCTATGAATTGTCAAATGTTCTTCACTTTCAAAAAAGCTGAGTTCAAAGAGAACAAATTAACTTGAAATGTTAAATATCAAAAATAACAAATACAATAATAATATAAAATTCAATTTAAATAATTCATATTTAATAAAATATTATACAAGTTATTTTTTTTTGTTTATGTATATTTTTTAAGAAAAAACAAAATATTATTGAAATATATTAAACATACATAAACAACATAATATGCCAATTTTTTATTCTAAAATACTTAGTTTCCAACTTTTGTCAGGCATTATTTTTAATGGGCTCAGAAGAATTGCATCTGAAAACAAATTATAAGCATTGATTTTTTTATTTTTCATAATTGATATTTTTATATAAGAGATTTTATTATTATTTATTAGTTACCTTCTATAATTTGTTCAGTTTCATTCTAAAAATATAATAACAATTCAAATTATTTCCTATTGTAATTGCATTAATAACCAATAATATAGAATACGTAAAAACTTACAAAAATTGGCCAAACAATTGATTTGTGCTGAAGAATAGAAGTCTGAAACGATTCCAATGTTGTTTGTAAAGTGTGACCAATATCAAATTCTTCAAATCTCACGAGTAAGAAACATATAGATTTTACATTATCTATATAAAAAAAAAAAACAATATATTTTTTATTATATTTCATTTAAGAGGGAACAGTGTCACATCAATATATATTTTGTTCGATCTACACACATTACACACATATAAATATATAATATAGCTAAAACCTCTCCCCATATTTAACTTATTGTGATTAGATTGTTGAAACTAAGGTAAAATAACTATTGCAGAGAGGAGACCAAAAGGCAGTGAGACTGTAAGTGGCTATAGAAATAAATGCAGAAAGAAAGAGAGGGACAGAAAGACTAAAGATGAGGTGAAGGGGACAAAGCTCTATGAAGGTGCAGGATTAGGGTGGCCAACTCCAGATAGTAGGGACAAATGGAAAAGAAAAACCTATTATAGTTAAAAAGAAAATCTGAGTTTTCTTTTTAAATATTTTTATTACTATGTATTACTGAAAATAAAAATAATAAATACTTATCACTTTCCTAAAAATCAAAATATTACAAAAAATGCCTTCATTTTAATGTATTAATGAAATAGAGGTTTTTACTATATTAAAGTATGTGTGAGACAGTAAAAATGTAATATTTTATTGTTTACTGAAGTCTTAAGAAGATATCAGCATAATTTTGGTTTCTAAAACCAAAATGTTGATAAAACACATTCATGTAAAATTGATTTTTGTTTAATTTTCTACGGTAATCTTATCAGAATGAAATAATCTATTCCAAAAATAGAGAGAATAATATTTGCGAGGGTTTAACATATCAGTCTGGAATTTTATTATTATTTGACTTCAAAAAATAAAAATAAATTGTTTGTACATTTAAATGGATATAAATTATTTTAAAAAACTGATATGTTAAGTCCTTAAAAATATTATTCTCTATGATTTCTGTAATTTATGATTTTAGAACAAAAACTTAAAAACATATGACTTAGCATGAATTAATTTTATCTATATTGGGAATAGGCCAGAGAGAAAATTAATAGTGAGTTAATTCTTTTGGGTTAAAAATATTTTAACTTTAATAAATAACCTATTAAATTTTCAAGCTTTTCAATTATTTGTTTCAAGGTCAAAATTATAGTGGGTTCTTCTCGAAAATTGCCTTTTTTCAAATTCCACATTTTACGTTGTTGTTTACGAGCGCTTCTGCAACTGGTTCGAGTGCTATAAATTAAAGTGTATGAATTATGAGAAATAAGTTACAGTAATATAAAAAATATATAATACCTTGATGTACGATAAGATGACACACTACTAATTTCAGAACTTGTATCGTTTAAGTTATCTATAAGAACACAATAAATCACATACAAATTTAAAACTAAATATTTAATGGTATAAAACTTACCATAATGAGCTGTTTCACTAGAATTTTCTTTTTTAACTTCAATTAAACGTTTAGTTAGAGTAACAAAATTTTCATTTTGCGAATTTATGTCAGAGATGAGATTTTGAGCAGTATTTAAACAAGACAATTTAATGCATTTTTCTGAAAAAAAAATAGTAGTGATAATAATTAAGAAAAACATACCTATACCACATAATTCACCTATTCTATGCCTATACTATGTACCGAGAAAATGGCCTAACTGAAATTGGGTTTTCTGAGCATCCCCCGTGACACCCTGTCCTACCCGTTTCAATAGCAGGGTGATACGGAAGATGCACAGGGTTCAGACAAAATATTCACATTGTTCACAACATTGACAAAGGATCAATTGAGGTACGTTATAAAAACTGTGAGTAATGATAAATTTATTGTCATAAAAATGTGTTTTTTACTGTCTGTCATTAACAACGGGGGTAGTAAACATGCTCCGGTTATCGACATCAGCATATTTTCTGAAAAGTGAATCTAGTTGGTGCACTGGGGAGGTTAAAATTGAAAAGTCTCCGTAGTTTTTAAGTCAGGGAAAAAAAGAGCAAATTATTTTGAAGTTAGAAATTCATATAAAATATTAATAGAAGATTCCTAACAAGTTTTTGACCTATAATAATAAAAAAAAAAGTTAACCGGATAGTAACATTGAACATTTTTATGATATTTGGTTTTAAATAACTGGAAAATTTAAAGTATCTAGAATAATTATATACATTATTTATATATAAAATTGGTTTTGCATAAAAATTCATAATCCTCCTTCATTTTTTTTTTTGTATTTTCCAATGCTTATGAAAACTACTCTGAATTTCCATAATCCTTGTTCCTTTAGAATGCAACAACTGGATTCATTTTCCTAACAGAAAAGATGCTGAAGTTGAAAATCAGAGCATTTTTACTCCCCCCAAAAGTTGGTGATAAACAGGAAAAAAACACACTACTTTATAAAACTAATACATACCTAAGTCACTATCGAGTATTGATCTAGATCGAGCTAAATATAAAGCGTGGGCATAATCTTGAGCTTTGATGCTATAATCTACAGCTAATTTAGAATCCTTCAATTCAAATTCAGCAAAATCGGCAGCCTCTCTGAACTTTTGTGTAGATGATAACATTGATAAAATGTTTGTTTTATTTTTTTTAATTTCCAAGTCACTAAACAAGAATCATTTTTATATATTTTGTTGCATAAAAAGAAAAACAATTATAATATTTTAACTGTGTTATTTACTCAAAATTTAGTTCATAACATAATTCTAAAGATTCTTTCCAAAACCCAGCTTTCAAATAAGAGCCAATAGCTTTATTCCGTTCAGTACTTCGGTTGTATATTAATGCTGCATGTTGATAATCCATTTTAGAATATAATAAATCCCCAAAATGTTTCGCAATAGTTTTATATCTAAAAAAAAAAACAAAACAAAATACATTAAAAATGAATAAATAAATATGTTGTTTAGTATTTTTCAAATAACCTACTTGTTTGATTGTTATTCATTATAATAGTAAAATGTTAATTACTTGTATGATCACAAAAAGAAATATTTTATGCATTTAAAGTAAATTCAAATATAGACATTTTTCATATAATACTGATTTAATATATAAGGATTAATAAAAGTTTTTTTTCACTTACTCATTTTGGTCTTGATTGAATAGTGTTAATGCATAAGAATAGAGGTTGTTATCTATAATATATTTCAAACATTTCTCAAACTGCCCTCCGCAATGAACTAAATTCTTTAAGGCCAATTCTTTATTTCCTAATTTATCATCAATTGTAAAACGCATGTAATGACATTCCATTTTTTCTAATTCTTTTAAAAATGGTACATATTCTTTTGGATCGAGTTGAGAATTATCTAATCATAAAAATTATAAATAAATCAGCATAAATTGTATAAAGGTATTGAAACACATTAACTAATTAAATATACTAAAATAGTCAATGCTCACTTATAATTTTCATAGCCATTTCTAAATTATATTCAGCAAGCGATGCTTTATATAATTGATCTACATCAACTAAGAATAATAAGTGTTTTAAATAGTCATTATTTGTTGATGCTAAATTCAATGCTAAATCAAAACGTTTTAATTTTACATAGCATCCAAGTAATGGAAAAGCATATTTATCTTTGTCAAGTTTTTCCAAAGTGTTCATTAAACGTGAACATATTGTGAACACTTTACTATCTAATTCTTCAACATTGTTTTCTTGAAATTGAGAAGCATAAACAGTATTTAAGTAATTTTTATCTTCTAATTCAGTTATGAATAAACTTATCCAAGATGGGTCTTTTACTTGTACAATAAATTCATTTAGATCATCAATGAACTTTAAAGGATTTAAATCGCATATTACATTAAGATTTATACGTTCTTTGCGCAAAAGATCAAATGCTATTAAATATTTTTGATCTTGAATCAGTTCAACAGCCGATAAAATTGTTAAGGGTCTTGGCTTAATTGTTTCTAAATTACCTCTCGGCAATTGTAATATAACTGAATTACCAGTTACTGTTATAATTTTTGAACCAGATTCAACTCGCCGATGATATTGATCATTATTATCCTGAAATATGTATTCAATTTCAGCTATTTCCAAAGAATTATAAAATAAATAATTTTTTTTATTACTTTGGTAGGATGTATATTATGAGCAATCAACCTCTGATTCAAAGTGGCAGCTAATACAAACGGATATCGAATACAGAATGATCCTATGTTATTTAAAATCACTTTATCATTTTCAAAAAGTCTTTTTGATACACCGAGGGCATAGATTTTATCGTCCATTATACTTAAATGTGTACATTCTTCAAGCAAATAAAGATAGGGATCAAGTGTATCCATTTCTTCATTCCACAACAATAATTGTCCATTTGATAGCTGAATCAGAGCTCCTTTCGTATGGTTCAGAATTGTTACAACTGGTAGTTCAACAACATGTTTAGTTCTAAAAATAAATAAATTTTATAACTTTTATCTGTACCAATAAAATTTAAAATACAAATCGGTTATAACATTTACATGTGTTTGAAATCATCATCAATTTTAGCAACACACATATGATGGATATTTCCTACATCTGATAAACTAAAAACAACAGTATTTTCATTTAACCAAAACCAATGATTCAATATTCCAGACATATTTGATACTCTGTAAATGGCTTCTAAAAATATTAAATAAAACAGTATTTACTAATTAGTAAAACAAATAATATACATTTTGAAGAGCATTATTATTTTTATTAAAATTACTATTAAGTAGGGAATTACTATGAAATACCAATTTTACAAATTGTTACTTTTATACAACATTACTTACTGCTTTTGACATAAGATTCTTCTGTATAATGATAAAAGTGAACAGTCTGATCAGAAGTAACGATACAAACATCATTTCCATTTTTACTGCAAGTTTAAAAATAAATTATATTTCATACATTTTAATTATTATTAATTGTTTTGCAATTTATTGGTTTATCAGCTAATTTAATTGTCCCTATAATATACTAATACTTAATAATGTATGTTGTGTGATCCATGTAATATTGAATTTAGATTTATGAAGGAACTTGATTTTACTATTGAGTATAAATAGTATATTATACATATACTCAATGATTTTACTCATTAATAATCGTCCCCATTTTAATAAAGAAAATAGGTAACTTAATGCATCAAGTTCCATAAACAAATTACAGAATTAAATTATGTCGTCACATATATATTATGGACGAAGCTGACATATTAATTACAATATTCATCTGAATAACACAGGAATTTTGCAATGTATTGCCAAAAAATTATAGAAAAGCATTCAGAATCAAAGTAATATCTTTATTCATACTTATAATGTAATAATAATTAAAATATATATTTATATACTATAAATAGTATATATATAAACATATACACAATATATATATATATATTTCATTACTTATATTTTGTTATTTGATTAATACATTTACAACCCACATATACAATGTTTGAAATACTATTTCTGTAAAAGCCAGCAAACCTAAAAGAAATAACTTGGGATTGGTCTAATTAAAAAATACATAGGAATAATATAGTACTATTATTTTAAAATAAATTCATAATAATTTATTTTTATTTTTAAGAGAAACATAATAATATTTATTAATATAAGAATACACTTTATTATAAAATTACAATTAAACATATTAAAAGTTACAAATTTATAATTGATTTTTTATTTTGTACAGTTTATTGTAATAATCCTATATGATATAAAATGTCACATCTGAACTATTCAAATAAATTTAGTTAGTGACCATCAACCTTGGAGCGATGTTCATTGACATTAATTCTTGGAATAATAACTTTGCTGCATATGGTAATTTAACTTGTGAAATTTGTGTTTTATTTTTGCATCCTTTGCATTCAAAAGTATTATTTCTTAGATTTGCAATTGCAATTAAGCCACAGAAATTACATATATGTATACGGTAGGGGTCAGATACTTCGAATAGACGTTCACGTAAAAATTGAGCAGCTCCGTGAGCTATTTGACAATCTCGTTCCATCTCACCAAAACGTAATCCACCATCCCTGAAAAAATGAAAATTCATTCAATATTGAAATAACATATTTATATTATAAAATCTTACCTGGCTCTTCCTTCCATAGGTTGCCGCACTAAAATTTGAACAGGTCCTCTTGCTCTTGAATGTATCTTATCATCTACCATGTGCTTAAGACGTTGATAATAAGTCGGTCCTAAGAATATTTGAGCATTAATTTTTCTTCCAGAAAAGCCATTGTACATAACTTCATTTCCTCTCAGATGATAACCATATTCTTGAAGTAGAGTTGAAATTTTTTGTACATTTACAGCATCATTAAATGGTGTAGCATCACCAATTTCTCCTTTATTTGCCGACACTTTCCCTTGTAAGCACTCAATTAAATGCCCAATTGTCATACGGGAAGGAATAGCGTGAGGATTTATAATAATATCAGGTGTGATGCCTTCACAAGTGAAAGGCATATCTTCCTGTCTGTATTGAATTCCACATGTTCCTTTTTGACCATGCCGGGAAGCAAATTTATCACCAATTTGAGGTATTCTTTCAGAGCGAACTCGAATCTTACAAAATTTATAACCTTCCGAATTTAAGGTTAACAAAACTTGATCGATGAGACCAGTTTCACTGTTCCTTAAAAATGTACTACAATCTCGTTTGGAATACTTTTTAGTAGTTCCTTCAAGCTCATCTTCATTATCTGGAAGTGTCATCGTTTTACCAATTATAACATCATCACCAGATACTCTGAGACCAGGAGATATTATACCGTCGTCATCTAACTTATCATAAATTGCATTTCTCATTCCTTGACATGATTGGCGATTCGGTTTTTCAAATACTTCTTCTTGATCTCCAATTCGTTTCGATTCAGAGTCTTTATAAGAACGGAAAAAGACAGATCGGAAAAATCCTCTTTCTACAGCAGAAGCATTTAATATTACACTATCTTCTTGATTATAACCAGTATAACATAAAATTGCCACAATAGAATTAATACCAGCTGGCAGTTCTCTGAAACGTAAGTATTCCATAGATCTTGTTGTTACAAGAGGTTTATGTGGATAATAAAGAACGTGAGCTAAGGTATCCATTCGAACATGAAAATTGGTTATGTAAACACCCATGGCTTGTTTACCCATAGCACTTTGGTATGTATTTCTAGGACTCTGATTGTGATCAGGGAATGGAATGATGGACGCACAAACTCCCAATATCATAGCTGGATGAATTTCACAATGTGTGTAAGTTGTACAATAGGCATATTCTTTTTCTTGTCTTAAATCATCAGGTGACATAGCAATCATTGTAGTTTCTTCTTCTAAAGTATCGATATATTCAACAACACCGTTAGATACTAGGACTTGCCATCCATAGTTGTTATAATCACGTTCTTTTAAGCTGTCAATATGACGTTTTTTTAGTAATAATTTTCCATTTTCAACAATTAGCAATGGCCGACAAATTCGACCCGCATCGGTATAAATTCTAATTTCACGATCACGTATATCACGAATTATACTAACTTCACTTACAATGATGTCCATTTGACGTCGAAGTTTTCTCAAAGTACCCATAAGTTGTTCAGGATCACGATGAATACCAACCCAACATCCATTTACAAATATTTTAGTTGCATCTACAATTGCCGAAGGAGCAATTTCTTCCAAGTTTTCCATGCTCCATTCTTCCAAAAATTCCAAAATTGGTGATGGCTGAGAACCAACAGATATATATGCCATCAATGCAAGATTTTTTACCAAGCCAACAGCAGCTCCTTCTGGGGTTTCTGCTGGGCATAACATTCCCCACAGAGTGTTGTGCAACTGCCTAGGTTTGGCTAATTTACCATCTCGCCCAATAGGGGAATTTACACGTCTTAAATGTGATAATGTTGAAGCAAATGTAAGTCTGTTTAATACCTGTGACACACCAGCTCTTGCTTGATGGGCCTTCTTTTGATCACCCCAATTTCCTGTAGCTAATGAATATCTTAGACCGTCAGTAATAAGTTTTGTTTTTATTGCTAGATCTAAATTAAAATCTTTTCCACGATCAATGAATTTTTGAGCATACATACGCACTTCTTTCATTAAATTTTTGAATAATCCTCTGAATAAAAATGCCAATAAAGGTCCAGCCAAATCCAAACGTTTGTTACCATAATGATCTCTGTCATCCAATTCACGTCTACCAAGTGAAGCTAAAAGAAGCCGATGAACCATATATCCCAAGAAATATGCCTTTTTAGTTTCACAAAAATCTGATACTCCTACATGAGGTAACATTTCTTTTTGAAGGATTTCTCTAGCATACTTAATACGTTTGTCTTTAGTTACTCCGGGTCTTGCTCCACGAGAACCAATAAAATTTAATGCTACATTTTGTTCTTGTATAACAAAAGCCTCATCTAAAGAAGGTTTCACCATTTCCATCATTTCTGGGTCATCAAAATCATAAATTATATGTTCCAATATATCACGATCGGCCACAAACCCTAAAGCTCTAAACACAATCATAATAGGTATTTCTTGTTTAATATATGGTAAGATTGCAATTATTCTCTGGCCTATTGCAGACTTTTTTATACTTTGACCACCACGAGCCATCATATTAACCCAGAGTGTAGAAGTCGGACGAGATGAATGTTCTAAGCAAGATCTTATTTCAGCCTTAAATGCATACTTACCATCTTTCATACTAAAAACATACACAGTATTAGTAGCCATTTTTTCCTGAGCGATTAATACTTTTTCAGATCCGTTGATAATGAAGTACCCGCCAGGGTCTAACGGACATTCATTTAATTCAGTCAAATCACGATCGTTTAATCCAAATAGTAGACAATATGTTGACCTTAACATTATTGGTATTTTACCTATAAATGATTTAGAATGTTGAGTGACAACTGGTTCTTCACCATCTTTAATCACAGTTTTTGTTATATCTACATAAAGTGGAGCAGAATATGTTAAATTACGTAATCTAGCTTCATTGGGCATCATAGGAGATGGAGAACCATCTTTTTCCCAATGAGTAGGTTTAGATAAGTAAATTTGTTCAAACTTAATTTGATACTTGGTAGGAGTATCTATTTCACCATGTGTATGTTGCGATTCAGCTTGTAACTCAATCTGAGGAGAGTCTTCTACAATACGCTGTACGGACATTTGAATAAATTCATCAAACGAGTCCAACTGCTGTCTTACCAGACCCTTTTCATCGAAATAAGAATTGATTACTATCCAGCAAGCTTCTTGCCAAAGTTCGCTTGAAATGTCTTCGGTTTCTTCTTCTTCCTCATATTCATCGTCACCCAAGTCGTACATGTTGCTTATTAAGATAGATACTCTACGTCTTTGAATTTAAAACTATTTGGTACAACGCGAACTCGGATAGTCGGATCACAACGCGTTAACCGTTTGAAAACAAACAACAATCAACAAAATGCATTTGCATACTATATTCAATTTAGAATATACTTTCTTCACTGTCCACTATCAGGATTCAAGAGGAAAATATAATACATTCCAAAGAGCATATATACTTTTTATAGGTTAGATTTACGCAACTATGATAAAAAGAGCGGCAAAATTTGAAAAATCTCACAAATTATATACATATCCATAGAATAAATTCAGTAAATTAACAAAGAATAAATTTGTTTTATGATCAACTTTATCATTTTAAAACACTCAAGTAACCAAAATATTTTTCAAATCTAATGAGTAATCCTGAATTTCCTGTTTTTTTTAATTCAATATTTCAATATAACATTATTTACATTATTTTATAAATTATGAAAATAAAAATATTTTGAAACATTTTATTTTAAACTATGAACAAATTATAAGATTAAAATAAACATCCAGTGATTATTATTCAAAATTGGTTATACTTTGTTAAAGACACAACCTTGAAAGTTTTTATTTTTATATTTAAACTTTGTTTTACAATTAAAATATTTAGTTTGAATTCACCAAATTAGAAAGCTATTTTGGAAAATACAAATTGCATTCTAAAACAAAAATTAAATAATAGAGCTGTAAGGTTTAAGAATGATAGTTTGGATCATTTGGAAATATATTTTAGAACATTAAAGATGTTAAAAGATTTTAAAAAGGGACAATATTTGGACACATTGTGGTGATAATTTGGAGTAGCAGTGGATAAGATGGGGGAATTCTATTGGTTGAGGTTTTGTTATGGAGTTTGCTGACTGTAAAAGGGAGATCGGGGGAGGTTTTTCGATGAGAGGGAAGTAGTCAGACTCAACTTAGCAAGTTATAAGTCATTATACTGAAATATATATTGATAACAAAAAAACATAGGGAAGTGTGTACTGCTCTGCAGTACAGAAGGAGTCGAGTGGGTTACTGTAAATAATGGATATGTTAAATGGTATAAAATCATTACACACAAAAAACAATTCTAAGCAAAGATGGTCTGTCAGCTTATATTATTAGCTTAGGTATGATCAATTTATATTTCTACTAAGTATCTTATGTTACTCGAAGTAACATAGTAGGTTGAATTAATTTTTACCAATTTAAATATTGCATTTGAAAATATCATTGTGTACCATGATGGTGAGCTTTAGAAATATATTAAAGTACTTTGAGTATCAAAAGTTTCTTACCTTTGATTGTGAGGCATATACAAGACACTGTCAACAGGAGAATCTAAGTTTAACTTTACATCAAACATTGGAGGTGGTATTATTACTTGTTTAAATGGTGTTAGTAATACTGAAGCTGAAAAACAAATAGTAAATAGACAGGATAGTTCCAACAATTAAATAACAAAATAATATTCTTACAGTTATCTATGACAGCCACCCAATCTAGAGTTCCTGGACTTGAAGTACACAAGGTTTCAGTCCAATAAAGTGTATAGTAACTACCATTATCAGTAATCAATTGTAAACTATTGTCCAACAACCATTTTGCAGTAATTATATTGTTTTCAATTGTCATCCATTTTTTAATCTGCCATGCATAATTAGTACACGACAAAAATAATAAATAATTACTATTAGAATCAGCACACTGAATACACAAAATCGAAGAATCATGGTTCCACAACAACTGTTTAACCTGTTATTTGTTAAGCAATAAAACAATATTAATTAGTATAATAAGAGTAAATTAAAACTGTCTAAATGTTTACTAACACTGATTGTAGATGGAATTTCAAAGTCTCCATGTTTGAGTCCATTTTTTTCCAAAAAACTTATAAAATATTTATCATTTATATGTTGAGAAAATGATATGAGTTCTTTGGTAGTTTTCCAACTTAATACAGCTTCCACACCTAAAATACAATAATAATACAAATTAAAAAAAGTTTGCATTGTCCCTTAATGTAATAGTAAGATGATCTACCTGAAAGTGGTTCACTTATGTACTGTAAAATTCCTTCTCTGTTAAATATTTTAATAGATCTTAAATTAGATCCTTTATCAAGAAATCCAATTGCAAACAATAAACTGTCAGATCTCCAGCAGATATTTATTGAATCATCAGAATGGTCTCCGTCTCCAACGACTTCCTTCACAATTCTTTTAGCTTTCCCTTCTGATCCATGAAATTGAGTTTCTTTTTTCCCCCAGCCAACATTTACCAATAATTTTTCTGACAGTTCAACCCCAACAATGTTGAAATCGGTCAAGCTTTCAAAACACTCGGTGACTAGTGTAATATGTCCTTGGCTGGTCAATAGAATGATGCGTTCAAAGTCTGGACTACACAGTATGTTGGCAACTACATCCTTACATTTATATGCAATTTCTACAATATTTTCTTGTATCAATAGTACATCGCCATTTGAACAACCGACCACAAAAGAATCCCATGGCTCATAGTAAGCGTAAGACGTGATATGAATGTTGTCGCAGTCCGCGCTCATGTACACGTCACATGCAGATAGGTTCACTACTAGACGAGGTCGATCGTTTAAGTTTAAGCGCCAAATGGAGCTTTTGGTCGAGTAACATAACTCACCGTTGGCAATTATCTGAACTGATGTAGCATCTTTTAGCTGTTCCACATGTGTCACCATAGACTTGTGCAGTTTAAGATTTTTCATAATGAACGTTTGTTGGAATTTTCAAATTTTAGCACTTTTCGAATTTTCAGACAAATTTTCGAAATACAAATCTGAAATCACCAATGTCTTATCACACATGCCGTACACGTGAATAATAATAATATTATTGATATTATGAAGTTCATATCTTTTCTATGGAAGTTATTCCGTGGTAACTCTATGACCAATCATTAGCGGCCGACCAAAGACTATGGAAGCGGTGATAGCGTAGTATTACCATTGATAACTGGAACGTCGACTTAAGTCTTCTTCCATCGATTGTGATGTGTGATGTGCTGTTGTGTTGAACGGTTGTTTTTTTCGATTCAACTCGAAGAAGTTATTTTTGTTTTCAAATTTTTAAAACAACACAGTATATTACTATATTATAGGTAGCTTTTTACTTTCTGACAGTGCTTTAAAATCAGGCAATAGGCCCACTGTCTAAAATATGGACAAGGACAACTATTCAATCGAAAATGATAATGTAGATTCTGAACAACTGTTTTTTAAGATCAATAACAGACAAGTTGTGTTTAAAACGGACAAGCGAACTGTTGAGAAACTAGATGATGGTATGTTCAGAAATGTGTACATAATAATTTTTATTGACATTTATTTTCAAATTATGGAACCTACTTGATGTCTTACAGAATAAATCATCACTTCTTCGTATAATCCTGTGTGTGTGAAGGGTTTAGTTAAATTTTTGATTAAAACATTAATCACAAATTTGATAGAATTGTTAGGTCATACCTTATATTTGTTAGCTATTTAAAAAAAATAACAATAATAACTATCGACATAGATAAATGTTATATCAGTAAAATGCATGCCGTATGTCATGTGTGTTATATTATGGTATTATGTATTTATATTTAAGTCTATGCTGCTCAAATATTTACTTAATATAACAGCTTTGTAAACAATACTGTGCCTAATATTCCCAAATATTAATATTGGAATATAATGAATATTTGAAATAGATAACTTCTTTTAAACAATATATTAAAACTTAAAATATATTGGGTATTTATACAGTCAGAGAAGATATTCCATTAAATATAAATAATAATAACTAGCATTCTTATGAAACTTAAACTTGCGTTACTGACTCATATGTATTAAGAAAAATAAGCTGTAATTATATATTATATATTTTATATTAATGTGACATTATTCTATTACATTTTTAGAAGAGGTGTTGATGAACTATGTTAAAGCTATAATTAATTCAAGAATGTTAATGACAAATGGTCGGAATTTAATCAATTATCCAGTGAATATTACAAGAACTGATGATTTAGATACATCTAGTTCATTTATTGAACTAGAAGTTTCTACTATTGTACAAGATGATGGTGTTGAAGAACTTCATTGTGCTCTTTTAAATGAGTATGTATTAATTTATTAGGTACCTATATTAATTTAATACATGCGTATGCTTATCATTGTATAATAAAACAATATTTTTATTTTACTCTACATTATTGAATTAGAACAAATTTGAAAAAAATAATGTATATACTAAAATAATTTTTATTAATTTTTTAGTGGAACCTCAAATGATATCAAATCTTCTATCGACCTTAAATCTGTTGTTGTTAATCAAAATGCTTCAGAAGTTAGTCCATGGAATGATTCCTTAATGAATGAAACTTACATTCCTGATAGTAGTAGTTAGTAAATTTTGTTTTCTTCTCTACTCAATTATTTTTGTAATTTATTTTACTTAATAATATAATTTAGATAAATTATGATTTATTTATATTTGACACATTTGTAATTTAGTGGCAGCCTTAAAATGGTCTACAGAAATGACATCTTTATTGATTGCTTTGCGTGGCAGCCTTAATGGAGAATTTAACTCTTCAAAATATAAATTTAAGCTATGGGAACTGATTGCAAGACGTATGAATAGTAGTATGCCTTCAGTTAAAGTGACAGCTAAAGACTGTGATGACAAATGGAGAAATATAGCAGCTACATACCGTAAAAATATTGAAAGAATTAAATATATGGGAGATTTTAGTGTACGGTGGGAACATTTTTCTGCTATGGATGAAATCCTCAGAGGTACTGATGAATTAAAAATACCAGATTCCTATATTGAGGTGGACAAGATGATTGATCCTGTAAATAAGACTTCTGAAGTTGACACTGATATTGATGCAGAAGAGTATGTATATTATTTTATAATTCCTACATACAGACAACAGTGTTGTAAAGTAGGTATTTAAATAACAATTTTTTTTAAATTTAAGCATTCAATTGACCATCTGAGATAGGGAAAAGTATTGAATTCAAATTAGTATCTTCTAAAAATTAGATTATTTGTTCAAATAATTTTAAACATGTTTACAACACTGATTATTAGGAATGAAGATTTGACTAAGTATTATAGTATACATTTGTTTGCAGTACTAAGGAAGCTATAAATACAGATTCAAATGATGATATGGATTATTTCTTTTTGACTTCAACAACTAATGCAAACAATGGTATGTTTGATTGATAAATAATTTATATATAATAATAATTTTAAAATATGTTTTTATTATTATTATTTATTTTAGAAATGTATTGCAATTTGATTATTAATGTACAATATAGTTTATAATTAAATAAAACAAATATTAGATTTGTAGTAGTATTGTTGATTTTTTTACAGAAATACGATTATGGACCCAAGAAATGATACTACTTTTGTTTTCATTACGACGTTCTATGGCAGATCGTTTCGACCATGCAACCAAAGAAACAGAAAAAGATCTATTATGGTACGAATTAGTTACAAAAATGAACAAAAGTCTTGGTGGAAATGCTGACATTGAATCATATGAAGCAGAATCATTATGGAACCAATGTGTAGAACAGTATGAAGAAAATTTAGATAAATTAAAGGCTGAAGGACCTCAAAATGTAAAATGGCCTTATTTTGCCATAATGGATCAAATGTTAGGTGGTACAATAGAAATACCAGGTGTCTGTCATCCGCGTCCTGGTGAAGATTTGGTGCCTGTTTTTATGCAGGGTGTTTGGAAACAGTCTGAAGTACGAGAAATATTAAACAATTACAAAGTTGATGTTAAGTAAGTTGAAATACTAAAATATTTAAAATATTTAAATTGTTTCAATAATTATTTTAATGATTTCAGAGTGGATAACGATGATGATTCTGATGCCAGCGATGAAAGTGTTGTAGAGACTAAAGCCGGAGTCAAGTGGCATCCAGAATTAACTCGCAAGTTAATACATTTACGCTCTGATGCAGAAAATGAAGTGAAAAGATGGATCCGTAAACCAAATTCAATATGGACTGTAGTTTTAAAGAAATTTCGTCGTATCGGCATGGTTTTACTAACTGAACAAGATTTAGAGAATAAGTGGAATAGTTTAGTAAGAGCATATAACCGCAGAGTGGCTGGTATCAGTAAAAGGCCCAAGACCCATTGGCCGTATTTCTATGGGATACAAAGTGTGATGAGTAGCATTATTGAAAATGAAAGTGCTCGTTCTCTATCACTTACACATGATGGCAGCAAGTCAGATCAACCACCTGAATGGTTCATTAGTTATATGAAAAGAAAAGAAGCTAGTGATTCGTACAAACATGAACAGTTGAGGAACATGCTAGTTGACATACAACACAGTCAAATGGAAAATAGAAGATTAATACTTTCAATTTTTAAGAAGTTATAATAAATATCCTAGTCAAGTATGAATGTGATTTTAGAAACATATATTCTTGTAAATATATTAGATTTATTGTTGTATAAGGCTGAAAGCTTAACTTAAAATAAATAATGGCTATTTTTTTACAAATGTATAGAAAAAAACGTATTTTAATACATAACTTAAAGTGAAAATATTTATAATTTTGTATCTCATGTTTTATCAAAGGATGATCTTTATTGTTTTAGTTAAATTTAGTTAATAATATAACTATCATAGTTTGTAATATACTATTAATTTTGTTAAAATTTGGAACTTGTATTAAAAAAAAAGGTTGTTCATATTTTTATGTTTTAAATGTTTTATCCCAAATTATTTTAACAGGAAAACATGATTTTGATGTTTACAATATCCGTGTAATTACTATTTTGTCATCAATTATGCACAATGTAGAACCTTATGTTCAGACTTCAATTGTTGAAGGTTTTCATATTTTTTAGAAACAAGAAATCTAATCCAATTAAAGTGGAGTGTCGATTATCCCCACTAATTGGGACCGAAGGGGGTGCGAATAATGAAACAACCATTGAAAATTATTTAGGTTCAAACGAACCAACTAAATTTAAGATTACAACGTACAAACATTGGAGTGAGCCGTAGTAGATAATAAAATTATCTCTCATTTCATAATATAACATAATAACATATTTTGTTCTTTGATATAATCATTGATTATAAATACTAGTATTTATAAAAAATAACATAACATAACATTATACTTTACAGTACACGATAAAATGAACATAACGAATGATAAAACTAAATTAAATTAAACTAAAAATAAGTTTGTACTCAAAAATTTTGTAGTGCAGATAATCGGCGCTCCACTGTATAATAATTATTATTACTATTACTATAAATGACTATTTTTATAAAAAAAGAAAATTTTTTGACACAATACAAGTCACAGCTGGTTGACAAAAATAATCAAATAAATATTTAAAATTTATGTTATTACTTAATTAATTGAATAAATACAGATTTTAACACTGTAGGGTCTTTATTTTTATCATAATATGGTACTGGGGGATTTTGTTCACAGCTTACTAACTCACCAGCCACACTTTTAGTGGATGGGGTAAGGCCTTCCCCCCTGTAGGCTCATGCTCATCCTACTTTTGAAATTTAAAGTACTTACAAATATAATTTAGAAAACATTTTAATTTCTAAGCAAACAATTAATAAGCAAAAACTTCAAAACAATTATTATTTATTTATTTTTTGGTGGTTTTATCATTAATTTCGTGGGAATGGTCAGTAAAATGTATTAAGTGCAGTCTAATCAGATTTCAAAAACCAAAAAATTACTAATCATAACAATTAACATTAAGTAATGAATTATAAAGCTTGGCAGGGGGAGTCGGTGGTAA